CCGGTTGCTTCTGCCACCGGATCTTCGTATGGCACTCCATTTCTTACAGCGCAGCGTGCCAACAACAAGGAGGTGATCGGTTGATAGTTCTGCGCCTCTCTTAACGCGAACATCCATTACAGAACATCGTAAATCAGACGATACGATTATCAGATTGATAATGGATTTCTCATTATTGTTTATGACTTTCCAGTTTTTAGTGTCTGCTGCGATATGTGCGTTAAAATCGCCCATTAGAATGAAGAATTCCGTAGTCGGCACTTCGTACAGAGCACACTTCATTTCCTCATAAAAGGTCTCATATTCTACCTCCAAATTGGGCGCATAGACCTCTGCCAAGGTCAACGCTTTAGCTGTTGTAGCTTCAGTTGGAGGATTACCACCATTCCAGTGACAGGCTTCCAATCAATGATTCTGTCAGCGAGGTTGGTTTCTATGAGAACACCAACACCAGCCTGAGCGCGCGTCGTGATATCGATACCTGAATAGAATGGCTTCCACTCGGGGAGGTTCAGGATTCCAGAGCCTTGTCGCTTCATTGACGAGTTTCCAACGATGTCGAGTTGGCACTTTATATCCTCATCAACTAACTCTTGTTCTTTCCCTCTGAGGATATATTCAAATTTCCGACCGTAAGCTCCCGCTGGCGGTTTCGTTCTGTTGGAGTCTTTTCTGACTATAATGCTATAATGGCATCGCGCTCCATGCCTCCTCCGTTCAGAACGGATAGCGACTCTGTTGCTGATTGATCGTTTTGCCGCCGTTATAGTGCTGCTACGTGCCGGGATGTCAGGAGGGGGGTAGGAGCTTCTAATCGTCGATTTTTTGCAGCCTGTTTCAGTCCTCCAACAGTCTGCCTGGCCCTTGGTTATTGAAAAACAATATAGAACAGTGATGAGCTTCTCGGCGCATTTGATGTTTAAATACTGTTTATGAAAGCTGTGACTAACCATGATAAAAATGATTTGCTGTTCTGGCTTGAAACGTTAATCAAAATATGGTTTGTAGGTGTTCCACAACCTGGTGATGGTGATTACCGGTTAAATTTTGAAGTAAATGAGAATCAGCCACTAACCATTTTGAAGAGCAAAGCCGGTCATGTTAGCGATCAACAGCGGATTGAAGTCTCACTGCCACCTTTTTGCAACGCTATGCCGCCATCGTACAAGCAACTTCCCCTACCGCCACTAGAATCTATGCGTTTTTGCAGACCTTTGCAGCAATACGACGGTGCTTGTCCACGAAATGACCAGCCGGTCCCTCTGAAGACCAGCATTAAAGCCCAAAATAATGCACCTCCTGTTTTATGCAATGACAACCATTTACATGTGGCTGAAAATCGCAGTGGTCATCAAGTGGTCAGCGCGTCAGCACAGAAATTTGCCGATCAGTTTGCTGCGAAAATTCGTGTCAGCAACGGACTGACGACCAACGATTTGGCCATCGCTTTAAATTCTGATCAAGAAGGCTGGTTGAACAGTTGTCTAACCGGTACATCTCAGGACCATGCCGATAAAATTTCAAGACAACCCCGCAGATGTGGCGAGCCAAAAAAGAGTGCAAGACTGACGGGTCTCGTACTTAAAGAATTGATCAAGAAAAAAATCATCAAGTCAGGCATCAACGTGCTTCAGTACAAAGATCCGATGGTAAATAACTCTGGACATAACTATCGAGAGGGAACAATGCTAAAGTGACACTGACGAATGAGCTACTTAGGCTGTGTCAGATGTTACATGAGGTATCCAACTAAATGTCTGGTGCATCAGTATTACGTCTGTGACCTTGATTTACATACAGACCTAGATATTTCTTCATAAACAGCGTCGATATAACGTTTTTGGTTAGTTTAAGGTCAAGACTAGAAACCAGATAGGCCGCACAGTAACGAAGTGTTTACTCCATTATGCTCATTTCTAATAAACTAAGATCGAGAGGAACAATGCATGTTATAGTGTACATTTCCGATAATGCGACACTTTACGAACAGATTTTTGGATAGGAGCACTTTAAATCACCTGTTCTTTCTCAAAAAAAAAACTTCTGAGCCAGAAGGGAAATTCGTAAATTTTAAACTGTTTAGTTATAAATATACTGTACTTGTGTCCACCGACAGCTTCGACATGCTAGTGACCACTCATAATCCTTTGTCGAAGCAAACTGAAAAAATGTATCCATGTCTAGCAGTAGCTGAAAAACCGCAGCATGACAGTAAAGACAGCATGAAAGACGAATTGTTTTCTCAACCAAGAAAGAAGCCACCTTTTTCGTATTTGCGACACATGACCGTATCTTTTGCATAAACTTGGGAATAGATCAGAGTTCATGTTCAGGATCTGCCTTCTGCTTCGGAGGAGATTCTATTTGGTAACTCATGACGTCCACCTGTCCAGACAAGTCACACAGCCAGCCTATTATTTCTTTAAGTTGTACCCAGGAGTAAGTTCGTTTCCGACATCAAACTCTCATATTTGGAACATGGTCTCGAATGGATACCTTGTATATTCTTCTTTCTGTTTCCGTTTGACTTAGTACTAGCTTCTTTTCTTCAGTCTTGGTGGTAGATCAGCACTCCGCGCCAAAAATCATAGCAGGAAGGACGCCGGAGTCGAACAGTTCTGTCGTCATGGATGTGCGCAGCTCGTTTTTCAACAGCTATGTTTGGATGTGATTGAAACTTACCCATACTGTCTTCCTTCTTTGCTTGATGTTGTTACTGAAGTTTATTAGTTGGCGAAGGTACAAGTAGCTATTGACTGATTTTTTTCTGATTCTTCGCTGTCATTGAAGATGGTACCTACATTGATGTCTAGCAGTGTTTGTTGCGCATCCGTTTCGTTTTGGGGTTATTAAATTCTAGACCGATGTGCATGACTCCTTCAACTATACAAATTCTTTATGATGTTCTGCCGGATCTTTGGAGAAGATATGACATCGTCTGCAAAGAGCAGATGGGAGAGCCGTTTTCCATCTGTGATAATACCGCCGCCCCATTTCAGATGGTAAAAGAGGGATTTTAGCGTCACGTGTAAAGCTTACCGACATTGTATCTTCTATGCCAGTTTTAGGTCTTTCCAGATACGATGGAGGTTGATTCTGTTAAAGACCTTGTAAATTTTTGACAGGAGAATGATAGATCGATAGGTCTCTAAGTCTTCAGCGTCATCTTTATTGAACAGAAGAATCGTCAAAGAGCTCTTCCATGCATCTGGCATTTTTTCCTCCTGATGTATTCTTAATCGTTCGATAACAGGGTCATTTCTCCTGACTTGAAACGTTCCGATTCCTGCCCGAACATCTGCCCTTCTTGATATTCTTTATTTTCCTCTTCTCTTCGTCCCAGGTGACATCGGGCAACGCTTCCGTTTTAACTTACGTTCGATGAGTAGGGGTTATTATGGAACTTCGAGCAAACTGTTTTCACGCGACAGCGGTCTGTGATTCTTGTTCCTCCTTCGTCCTTTAGTGAAAACGGCATCCGCTTTTAGGAAGATCCCTTTACTGCATCCTTCAAGCTGTTCTTCTTCATTGTGGCCTCTCTTAGCTTCGCTGTCCTATGCTCGTCATAGCCCCCCTCTACAAAATATTTTTATATATTTCTTTGATCTGCATATTGCTCTTGTCGACCACTTGTGCTTTAACCTTTATTTTGGTTCTTTTGGCCAACAACTGTATCGTAGCAGAACTAGTAAGATTGTTTTCTCTTCGTTGCCGAGCTCAATAACCGGATGGTAGCTTTGATGATATCGATGAGCTGCTGTTAGTCTGCATCGATGTTTCTGCTGATGTTTGTTGCCACCTTCAGAATCGAATGTTCATCAAATTGTCAGTGGTCTTTAAGCCCTTCTAACCAAATCTTATTAACGACATCCACTGTAACTGTGAAGCGGAGTGACATGGAATTTGATCCAGTGCAGTCGATGTTTTCTTCAGTGAAAGACTTATTACTCTCCTAGTGCCCGTCGTCACGTAGTCGATTTGATTAAGGGTCGTTTCATTAGGACTTGGCTTTTTGACACGCGGTGTTAGTGATGTTCAGGCGGTTACTTTCAGCAAACATCAGGTACGGGACAGAAGTTGCGTAGTTTCACTGTCCATTTCCAGCGCTGAGTTTCAGTTGTTTTCTCTCCTACTTTTATATGGACGTCTTTTGCATTGCGCTTTCCAGTTCTTCGTAGAACTGCTCCACTTCTTCATTCTCTATTTATTGTGTAACACTTTTGATTACCTTTAGTGATTCCTTCTCTTTTCTATTTACAGAATTAATACGGTGACAAAGGTCTAGCTAAATACAGTTCAGCCCTCTTTTTATGATGAATCCTACTCCATCTGTCTAAACCAGGTTTTATTACGCTTTCCCAAGTAATGTATGATCACCGTTGTTCCATGTTTGGCGGATTTTAGAATATCTGTTTATCTGCTTTTTCACACTCCAAGAATAACTGTTTTGATCTTCTTCGTCTCAGCAATGTGAATATCGACGGACGCGTCTGACGACAGAGTTCTGGTATTATGGCTAATCAGAAAACCCTGATGATACCATTTTCCGCTTGCCATTCGCATCCTTTCCTTCAGTGAATCATAAGTCGTCCCGGTCGTTGACAAGCCAACTTGCAACCGCTGTATTCCTCCGTGCGTAACGTATTTTCGGTGAGTTTCTTAGGCAGTTCATTCAAGATGTCAGCTTCATTGAACTGTAGTCTTCGTTCGTCTCATCCTTGAACTAACCCATCGGGATCCAAAAGTGAGGTGCTGAGTGAGTTTTTTTAGGTCGCGGTAGGGTTTATTGATCGGTGCCTGGCCTCATCGTCTCACTCAACCGGAAAGGGCAGCCTACAACATATCCAGCCGCCTCACCATGCAGAGGGAGATATAGATATACCATAACAGAAGCGACAGGTCAGCGTTAGAACCGTTGGGTTAACAAAAACAATGGCCTCTGATGATGGCAGCATTGGACTGGTCCGAAATCAGCGAGTTTGTCTCAGCAAGGTTTTTCGTCTACGCTTACCGTAGTCTGCCTCTGTTCCGCCTCCAGGAACGCGACGAGTGCGCTGTGCGCGGAAATCTCTAGCATTTTTCGCGGGTCGATTCTGTTGCCGATGGTTAATTCGACAACGGTTACGTTATTATCAGGCTCCGCATATGGAAGTGTTGAAGATTGTTGTTTTTGTCTCATTCTGCAGCGTTCAAGTCTCCGGCTCCATACAGCAGAACGGACAAAATTGAGGTAGGATAAAGCCATATTTTTGTAGGTTGCGAGAGGGTGCTCGATGAACAGACGTACGATGTAGTGTTCATAATAGAAGCGGCAAGGCCAAGAAGACGAATTACTTCAGGTCTGCAACTTCTGGACGAGTTGTTTAAGGTCAAGAGGTAGCGGACTGTTCCATATCTTCCACCATCTGGCCGTCTAATAAAAGTTGGCGGCAGCCGCACCCAATATCAGGGTTTGTACCTTTGTCTTTTGTCAAGAAACCTCCAGGACCAGCTTGTTCGAAATACTGTAGAACCCTGAGAACTGACGGTACAAACTCCAGAGTAGTGATATGCCTAGGCCAGATGCGTGGCGGAGAGACACCAACCGAGGTTCCGGGGTTGAGGCGTTTGCTCAATGATCCTCATTCGACAAAAGCGGGCATTGGCAAGCACGCACTCGTGTTTCACCCCCAACGATGTGGGAAACCGTTGTGAGAGAGATTCTTCATGAAGCGAGTTTCATTGCTAGATAGTAGTGCCTCAGGTTGTTACGCCGCATGCCTACCTTCGTAGTCTTTTGCAGTATACCTCGCGGTCTGCCTTAGCTCTTGCGTTGAAGATGTCTTGTAGACGCCACTGAACCACGTGATCGCCTTTTCTGTTACTGGAAGGACGTCCGACGTCTCGTCAGAGCCATACCTGTTTTTCGGTTTTCTTTATGCCAACCAGCTTGTCTCCTGACTTCGTTATGGACATTCCCTCGTTGTCATGGGAATCGGAAGAGTTCAGGTTTAGAAGGCGACTGCCGATGCCAATGGCATACACTTCATCTAGTTGGATGTCCAGGAGGAGGCGGTTGACATTGTGTCGTTTCTACAGCGTGGTGGGTTTGGCATGCTGTGGAGATAGGATGCAGATTTCGGCTACGATCAGCCCATGGTCAGTGGAAACAGATCTTCGTCGCCGCGTAGATTAATTTTTGGTAGCTCTTTATCATGTCATCATCTCTGTGTCGAGTCATGGTGTAGTCGATTTATTTAACCTTGCGACCGTTGTTGGAATACCGTTATGTACTGATGAGTACAATTACGTTGGAACAAAGAACCCGTGCGCTGAGCGTGAGGAGCCGGTTAGGGTTGCTATTTACTGTCCCGCATCCGAAGTTTCCTGAAACGGACTCGAAAATGAATCTCTCTTCATCCATCTGGACAATGAGTTTACAGAAAACCAATAGTTCATCATGCGGGAGAACGGACAACAAGGTGAATTGCAATTGCTGGTCCTCCTGATAAAAGGTGACTTCTGTTCCAGCATGCACGACTACAGTCGAACGGCGATTGTGGCAGTGATATTAGCGCGCCTTAAGTATCCGATCCAGAATTGACTGCAAGGACCGGTCGAATCGTTACTTGATGATGAGCGCCACTGCATTCACGTGCTTCGATCGACAGAGTGTAGAAAGACGGCGTCGTCAACATGTGAGTTGAACTTCGCAGA